AAAAAAACAGTTACTTTCTACCAAGTGTAGTGTAGATAAATTCTTAGATTTTTAAACTTTTCAGTGTGCTGAGCAAATGCCCAAAACAACATTGAGGGGAAGAAGCCATTATGAGGAGAGCTGGGAAAAGATTCTAAAAGCATACCATATCGACTGTCAAGAGTTAAAAACAGAAGGTGTTTATTAACATATATGTGTCATATTGAGTTGCTATTTTATCTTAAAATACATTTATGGTTTTTATGATTTCTCTAACCTCTGGAAAGCTATAAAAGAATAATTTATAGTGTGTTAAAAGTTCTTTATTTTCCAGATTAATTTTTCAGTGGCACTTCACATGATGTGCTTTACTTCCTGTTTGAGATTCTCATCTCAGCCAAGGGAGCCCTGGTTTAGTGCCTTGGTCTCCATCCCAGTTTCAAAATTTTGTGTTTGAGAAATTTTTTTTTTTCTTTGAGAGTTTTTATTTCCTCTTTCTCTCAGTCATATTCAGCTGGGTGCTAGTATATCACTTAAAGTTTTGGTGGAGCATTCTGAGTCACTTTTATATTCAAATGATTACAGCAAGAATGCTATTTAGGTGCCTTTGTTCCTAGAATAATACTTAGTTTTAAAAAAATAAATGCACATGATGCAAAATAGTTTTAATTCAACAGCTATGATAGTTTGTAAACAACTATTTGTGAAGATGTGCTTTACTTTATATAGTCTGTTCCCTAAAGAGATGTATGTAAATTGCATATAAAGCTCCAAATGTATTAAAACTTTAAATATAAATAAAACTTATATGGAATAGAAAAATAAAAAAATAAACATAAATGTATGTACACTGTAGAAATCAGAAAAAGCAAAAAACAAAACCCCAAAGAAATAAACTAAAATTAACCCGTGATCCCCACTACTCAAAGATAATCACATTTTAGTTTACCTTTTCTAAAGATGCATATACTCAGTCCCAAAAAATATTTTATACATCACGTTGTTTTATAGTGTTTCTGCCGCTTAATACTACTCATTAAATACAGTGTTACAGAAAAGCAAAGATTTATCTAAACAATGCTGAAATAACTGCCCAAAACTAAAACAGCCCCAAAGTGAAAAATGCACGTAACAGGGGGGTTTAGGCAACACCATACTCAAGCTGATTTATTAAACTACTACTTTTTATATTTTCTTAAATTCTTAGAAGTAGATTAGCTATGTCCAAGTACATACATTATTTTGCAGATTTTTGTTACATATTTTGCTCATGAAAAAATCATATTAAATTATACCCTTTCTAGCAATGAGTGGTCTCATTTCTCCATATTCTCAACAGAAAGTTTATTTTTAATTTATGCTAAAAGTTAAAAAAAAAGTATAACACAGATTTGCATTTCTGGGAATACTGTTAGTGAAATTTCAATTTTTTCATGTTACCTGCTCCTTGTATAAATCAGTTTGCCAAAAAAAAATCAGTTTGCCTGCTTTTTTCTATGGGGGCTCTTTTTTATTGGTTTACAAGCCCTTTTTATGGCACAAAAAGTAATTCTGCTTGTAAATTACAGTATTTTTCTCAGTTTGTCTTTTAATTCTCTTTATAGGATTTTACCATACATAATTTTTATTATTCTCAAGTAACCAAACAATTTTTTTTTTTGGTACTGGGGATCAAACTTGGGTCCTTGCGCTTGCGCAGCAGGCAGCAAAACCACTGAGCTAAATCCCCGGCCCAACCAAACAAATCTTTATAAAAGCACCTAAGTTCACCACATTAAAATTATAACCATTTGACTATTTTTTGGGGGGTGGGGGGTGTTTGGCACTGGGGATCAAACTCGGGACCTTGCGCTTGTGAGGCAGGCGCCGGCACCCCTGAGCTAAATCCCCATATTTGACTATTTTAAATGCTTTGACCCGTGTATATATCCTTCATACATTTTTTAAATGGCAGCACCCATTTCATACAATCTGTTTTCTCAAGTATTTACTGACAGGTCTTTGTAAATAATAGCAGTTTGTTGGATTTGAGCAGTCTTAGTGGTTTTACAAATTTCTGCAAGGCCAATGAGTCATAACATCACACCCAATTTAACAATGGCCGCAAAGTTCCAGAACTGTTCTTGCCCATGCCATCAGGGCCTAATTACTCTTCTTCCATGTTTACTGAAAGAGAAGAAGAATAAGCTCATTCTTAGAAGTCAGTCATAATTCTGCAGGACGAATCCTGTCAGAATTATCAGATACCAATCCTTAAAGAATTTTCATGTTAAACTCTCCTGGTCATCTATCTTCATACAAATCACTTCAGTGGAGCACTGGGTTAAAAACTCAAGCTCTGGAATTACTCTGTCTTGCTCTATCTGACTTGGGCTTCCTTACTTTACTAGCCCTGCCACTAACCATGAGAGAAGCCTGGGCTCCTTTTCTGCTCTATGAGAAGTGCTGAATGGAGGTACATTTCACAGGTCTCTGTAAAGATTTCAGGCGCGCGCGTGCGCGCGTGTGTGTGTGTGTGTGTGTGTGTGTGCGCGCGTGTGCGCATGCTCCCATGTACACTGATGTGTTGGACGCAGATGTGAGCCATGTGCTAGGACCTGGAGCCAGACACCTGCCACACACTCTCTGTTCTTCAGGTCCGTGTAGTGGTGAAACCACAAACAATCAGAAGGTTGAACATGGAGACTGTGCCCTAGGCAGGACATCACAGGAACCTAGAAGACTCCTAACCCAGGCAGGATGGCAGTGCCAGCTTTCTAGACATGGTGACACCTGAGCTGCAGGTGACAAGAAGGGGAAAAGGAGAAGAGGTCAACAGGTCTGCAAATCATGTTGAAAGGTGGAACGGAAGGCAGGGAGGGCAGAACTGTGCTTGCCCGGTCCAAGCTTCCAAAGGAAAAATTAAAATGACTATCAAACTTCAGTTTTAAAACCCCGCTTGCAAAACGTGAATGTGAAGCCAAGGGTTGATAGTGCGCACCTGGGATCCCAGCACTTGGAAGGCAGAAGCAGGACAATCAGCCTGGGCTACACAATAAGACCCTGTCTCCAAAAAACAAAAACAATAAATCATAAAAACCCATCAATATGCTATGTTATGTTTCATAGGTAGTTTTTTCCACACTGTGCTTGTTCATGTTAAAAAGTTATGACATTACTCTTACGTGAAATAAATCAGACATACACGTTTAAATACCACATTGTTTCTCTGGTGTGAAAAACTGAAAGTGGAAATAAGGACTTATGTACAATAGAAATTGGGAAATGGGAAGAAAATGTTCAAATGGGAAGGGGAACAAGGGAGGATGTAGGGAGAAAGGAAAGAAGGGATAAGGAAAAAAGTGAAAACAGAAGGAAAGAATGGAAACAAAGCTTTTGTACATGGGAGGAGCGGACTTGAAGGGAAGAGGAAAAAAGAGGTGGGATCCATCATGTACAGGTGCAAGTTCACTATGATGAATGCTATCATTATATATGCCTAAAATGTACCAGTAAATGTCTTGGTATAAAAAAACTAAAAGTTATGACATGCCCTTGGAATCTACTCACTCTAAGGGCCTAAGAGATCTTAATACATATCCGCCAACTTGAACCACACAGGTGGTAGGTACATGCATGACTGTGCCACCCAATGGGACAGTCATACATGTACCACCAGTGGTTCAGATTCCCCACCCCCAGGCAGATACACAGAAATTATGGCCCCTTCATGAATGTGCTGAACAGTATCAGTTAAAAACTACCTCATTTTACAAACGAGGAGATACAAGCCCAGAAAAGTTAAGCTCAAACTAGACTACATGTCACAAAAGCAAAAAAAAAAAAAAGTCCACAATCTAAGCAAACATGCCTCCACAGGTTTTTGAGAAGCTAGAAAACATATTTGTGTGAATTAAAAAAATGTAAGCCATAAAATGTGGTATTTGTAGTGCATATTAGTAAATGTACAAATCATAGCCCTCAGTAACAGAATAAAAAAATTTTTCCAAATTTGATTTATACTTCATGTAATGCCCATGTTTTCATTTTAAGCAAAACAAAAGGTGTGTACCTTACCGATAAACTACAAGATTACTTTAAAATGGCAAGGTGAACTTACAACTGGCCCTTAAATAATAGTATTAACACCCTTCTCTGCAGACATATGTCAAAGATAAGTTCAAAATCAAGTCAATGGTCTCCATAAAACTTAACTTCATCCCAGACTGACTCCACTGCTAAGGACAGCAAGGCCATATTCTGGAATCTATGGAGGGCTGAAACTGCAAGGAATACAAACACAAACACAAAAACCTAAGTTTTAGGGACCTTCTTTTTTTTTTTAGTACAAGACCTTCATTTTTTAAAGGTAAAGAATGGCACATAGCAACTCCTCAATTTAACTTGAGGTACTATTTTTATTTTTTATTTTTGGTGCGGGTGATTGAACTCAGGTCCTTGAGCTTGCACAGCAGGCAGTGAAACCACTGAGCTAAATCCCCGGCCCCTCCTCAATTTAACTTATGTTCATTTTAATTTTCCATGATGAGAGGAAGGCACACCATCTCTGCCCCTGGGTACACTGGGAATGAAAAGACTGTTGTGGCCCTGAGACTTCTCCTCCTTGGTCTTGTCACACCTGGACTCGCCTCCTTTTCCTTCCCAAAGGGGAAGAGTCCCACTACTGAACAGCTTTACCTCAAAGGTAAAGTAGTGTGGCCGGGGATTTAGCTCAGTGGTTCTGCCGCCTGCCTCACAAGCGCAAGGACCCAAGTTTGATCCCCGGTGCCCAAAAAAAGGGTAAAGCGATGATATTTGGGGTGGGGAGGCAATCTTGTTTGAAAACAAACACAAGAAGTTTAAAAATCTACACCTTTAAACTAGTTCTGTTTTCTTGACACTTTTTTGGATTTCCACAGCTAAACAAAATCCGAGTATTCTTCTGTTAGGGCCCTGAAACTAGATACTAGGGGAAAGGGGTATGGTAAATGAGGCATGAAAAAGATGACAAATTTTACTTACAAGGTGCACATAACATAGTAGTAATAATAATAATCATAAAACTTGCACTCTTAACCACTTTACGTACAGTGGTTATACTCACTGTAACCAAAATCAGGGCAAGTGGTCAAACATTGGGATTAAGTTTGAATTATTCCACAAAATTCATTTATTCCAACCATAACTGAGGTATCACAATGACCAAGTTCTACGTTACACTGGGGATAGAAAAAAAAAAAATACCCCTGTCCTCGATAAATTCAGTCTGTAACCCATATGAAATAAGGCTGCACTGAGAATCAAGACTAAGTGAATCACAGCTGAAAGGTAGCATCGGGTAAGGAGCAAAAGGGCCTGCACAAGGTCTAAGGATACCAATCAGGAACAGGAGGCAGGCCTACAAGGCCCTCAGCATGCAGTTCTCAGGGAGGGAGGGTGGATTTTATAAACTGCTGAAAAGCCCTAGCCAGGCATAGTAATGCACGCCTGTAATCCCAGCTACTTGAGAGCCTAAGACAGGAAGATCACAAGTTCCAGGCCAGCGTGGGCAACTTAGCAACTCCCTGTCTCAAAATAAAATATGAAAATGTATGAGGATGTAGCTCAGTGGTAGAGTGCTTTTCTAGCAGGCAAGAGGGTGTGGGTCCTGTAAACAAACCAAACCAAACAAAAACCCGAGGATATCTAAAGTTGCTGTTCTTGTGCTTTTTGCAAACTGGTTTTTAAATACGGCCGACGGGGGAAAAAGTTTAACATTTTTAGAAAGCAATTCACCCATTCCTCTCAAGCTTAATGAGCACTCTCCTGTAACCTCCAAAAATGGGCATAATAGAAGTTAAAGGCAAGTTTGCATGCTTCGGAATTTGAAATGTGATGCAACTATTTCACTGGAAAGCAGCAAACACAATCTTCAAGTAAATCAGTTCTCTGAGAACTCTAAACCTTTTCAAACAAAGAAAATCTCATAACCTAATTTTAATAAAGATTGGTTTTATTTTTTAAACATCATATACTTAGCTCCATAAAATACATAAACTTCAGAAAATCCAGTACTTTTTGGAGTACAGCCCAAAAATGAAGTGCTAAAGAGTGAATTTACTCCTGCAGGGTGCTAAGTTATGCTAGGTCCTAAAACCTCGCGGCTTAAAGTAAAAAACGAACTTAGTTCCTCTTCCATCACCCTGCTAAACGCTTATCAAAACCGTGTGACGATTTACGCCTGTCTTAACTTTTGACTATTTTAACGCGACTTCAGTAAACAGCAATTAACCAGGGCAAATAAGTACCAGTACTTATAAGTTGTCTGCAATTAAGTATTTGCGCTCTTACTCACCAACCCCTACTACAAACTAAAAACAACAATAGTGACCCCAATCGGAAAAGGGAATCTCTTGGCAGAACTACAGAGGGGAGGGAGAGATAACTCTTTAAGTTTGGGGATTAATCTCAAGGAATGTGCATAAGCATGCCAGTCTTTAGTTCTGTCTACACTACACCACACTGCACATGTGACAAAAACGCAGGGCTTGCGGGCCACACTGGTCTTGGGAACCAGGACACGCGAACCCCGAGCTCAAGGACCCCGACTCGCTGCAGCCTGGCGGAGCGCCCAGTTACCTCCGGGGTCGGAGCGCGCGCTCCCGCGGGACGGGGACGCGCCGAGGCCGCGGCGCCGGGCCGAGACCAACTTGCGAGCGCAGGCGGGCGCCAGGGGTTCAGTCCGGTTGGGGCCACTGCAACCGCATCCATCCCTCCCTGCCTGCCCAAGCCGGCCCGGTCCCCAAAAGAACAGCCCGAAAGGACGACTGTGACCCCATAATAGCGCCTTGCATCGGCGCCACAAAGCGAGCGGGGAACCAGAACGCCGCGGACCGGAAAGCCGGAGGCACCGCGCGAGCCCGGGGCTCCCGAAGAGCATGCGTCCGGCGGCAAAAAGCGACCCCCGGCGACAAGCGCGACCCGAGCGGGCTGGGGGAGAATGGGCGAGCGCGGCCGGGCGTCCCGCGGGGTCGCCGGACAAGGCGAGGCGCCGGCCCGGTCACTCTCCGCCCAGCCTCCCAGGGCCTGGTCCGCGCCACCAGGCCACCGCCCTGCGCACGATGAGTAGGGCCTTTTCCCGGTGCGCACCCCGGCCTGGCCACCGCCAGATCCCGTCCGGGGCCTCGGTAACTCAGGCGGGGCCGCGCTCGCTCGCTCCTCTATCCACGAGTCCCCCAGTCCCGGCCGCCATTCCTCCCGGCCGTGGCGCTCGCCTCAGGCCTGGCCCGCCGTCCGCCCCCGGCCTCCGCGGCCCCGTCACTGCGACACCGCGGCTCGGGCCGAGCCTGCGTCGTCGCCTCCCGCTCCCCTCACGCCCAGCGGCCGCCGCCACTCACTCGCATGTCCCGGGCGCCCGGCAGGCTCGGGCGACGCGTCCGCCGCTCGCTGGGCCCGGGCCGCGCCAAGCCCCGTCCCGCCGAGGTCTGGCCGCGTCCCTGCGCCGCCCGGGCAGCCCCGCCTGGAGCTGCGTGCGCCTCGGCGCCCGCCCCCGCCTCCTCCCCGCCCGCCGCCGGCCCCTCCCGCCCGCGCTCCTCCGCCCTCCGCGCGGCCAGCGCTCCCCGCCTCCCGGCCTCACCGGCTCACCGGCTCCGGCGACCGCGGGCGGGCCGACACGGGTGGGAAGCGCGGGCGCGCACCACCATGATCGTCCGGGGTAGGGGAGCCAGGAAACCGTCGCCGCCATCGCGCCACTCGCCTGAGGCGCGGGAGGGGCCGAAACCCTTCTTCCTCGGCGGCCGGCAGGCCCCGGCTCGCGTGGCTAGGTCTACCTGCAAGCCCTGGTCCCGTGTCCCCCAGACGCGGCCGGATCCTCAGCCGGGTTTTACGGCCACCGAGAAAGCCCCGGGTTCCCGCCACTTGGGACCTTTCGGGTGGACTGAGTTCCTTCCTGAGCTGGGGCCTCCGGGCTCGGGAGAAACTTCCCGAAACGCCCCGAAGAAGGGGGCGCCACCCCCCCTCCCCCCGCGACACGGTGACCTCCGGACATGGGCCTCCCGCCCCCGAGGGAAACCGAGGCAGTCTCCCGCCTGCTTAATAAAGCCAGCGCAGGACAAGTAAATAGCCCGGAAATGAATACGGACGCCAGGGAAACCTGCAGGCAGATCCCGACCCTCCGTCCACCTGCAAGGCCTGGAAAAGCTCAACTTACGGGCGTGCCTTTTTAATGGTCTCTGAAATCAAACTGACTTCCTTTCAGATGCTCTGACCAACTCATTATGGACAAGTTTTGACAAAAATTCACTTTACCCTTAGTGTCTGTGAGAAAAAAATCAAGAACAGAATCGGAGGCTTTGATTGAACGTAGGATGCAGTGAGCAGTGACTGTAAAATAGTATTGTTTGCACGTGGACTTTGAGGTCGTTAATGTTCTTTTGAAACAAGCTGCTATTATTGAGTATTTGGGGTATTCAAATGAGATGCAAATTTAGGCAGCACCACTAGCTGCTTGGGCTTCTGGTGGTGATAGTGGCTGGAGAAACAGTGGTCTCGCCGCACACCTAGCTAGAGGCAACTGTTTAGTACCCAGGCTGAATTCAGGAACTAGCAAAAAAAGATTTTACATTGTCCCATCATCTCGGCGAAAGGTGGTGCATGTAACTTCCTGTTTTCTCCAAGCAGAGATCCAGGTGCCACATTAGGGCAGAAACCTCCAAACCAAGCAGGGGGCCGCCCCCAGGTTCCACCCTGCTTCTTGAGTACTTGGGTTTCTCTTAGGTAATCTGATGTGTGCACTGTTGAAAAATTCCCGGTCTGTATCCTACGCAAGGGACAGCTGAGTGTTGAACGACTTACTTGTGGGCAGGGTAAATAGATGGAAGTTCCTTCTTGTGGATGGTGCCTTCCTCTGTTCATACAGTGTTGTTTTATAAAAAATTTTCTTTGGCGCTGGGGATTTAGCTCAGTGGTTCTGGTGCCAGCCTTGCAAGCGCAAGGTCCCGAGTTCAATCCCCGATACCAAAAAAAAAAAATTTTTTTTTCTTTTTCCTGAGGCAAGGTCTCTCTGTGTAGTTCAGGCTGGCCTAGAACTCACGATGATCCTTCTGCCTCAGCCTCCCTAGTGCTGGGATTACAGGCATGCACCACCATTCCAGGACATACAGGGTTTAATTTTCAGTATTCTGGTTTCTTCTCACTGGAGCCTGTGTACTCCTCAGATCACAATTTATCTCCACGTTCCCTAAACCTGCGACCTCCAATCTCATCATTCCATTTCATCTTTTCTGTGGTTCCTGCAGCCAAATATGAGAGCCGAATGTGTCAAATGTGCCCTTACTGGTTGTTTCCTTCACCCTCTGTTTGTCCTCAGTGCAAATATTTAGTCCACTGACACCAACCTCTCTTCTCACTGCCTCCATTCCTGGTTCTTAGCTCTCACCTCCTTTCCACTGTCTGCACTGCCGTCCTCAGCAGCTGGATGATTCCATCCGCTTCTGTTTGCTTCACAACTGTGTTGCATATAGTACCTGCCTGCTCATGAGATGAGGCCCTGCCCTCTTTCCACTTCAAAAGCCCCTTCCATCTTTTTTGCCTGTCTCTGAAAAACCGAGTCTCTCACAGATGACCCGAAGTTTGGGAGATGTCAGACTACTTAATTTGATTGATGTCAGAATCAAAAGTTTAACATAGTCTCAGAAGACGTAGAATATCAGGGCACAATCAATGTAATAAAATATAACTTTACAAGTCTACAACAATATGATGTAGTTGGACAAGCCCAAGTTTTACATTTAGGCAGGCCTTGGTTTATACATAAACTCAAATGACTTGTCTTCACTATTGTTAGGTCAGCTGTTAATTAGGAAGTAAAATATGAGTTTCATTAGAATGTGAAGAGAATTTCTTTATTATTCCAGCATAATTTGTGTTAGTTTCTTTCTTTTCCTCACCTTCCACAAAGTGAAGGCCTACTGACTTCCCTTTTGCTACACATTACTGTATTTTGTTGGGTTTTTTGAGATAAGGTCTTGCTATATATTTCAGGCTGGCCTTGAACTATGTAGCCTAGGCTCACTGTGAACTCACAGCCTCAACCTCCTGAGTGCTGGGATTACAGACATACCTGGCTTTCTTTTTTTAATGGTCTTACATTATGTGCTTACTCTTCTTGAAGAGTTTATCTAAAAAAAAAGTTTATCTTACTGCATTTAAATTGTTCCCTTCTCTACCTCCAACCACCTCTTCCGTTGTGAGCTCCTTGATTTCAGAAACTGTCTTTTAGTACTATATCTCCAATATTTAGCATAGTGCCTAACACATAGTTGATGAAAGAATGGTTGGAAGCCAATTTATGCATCAGTAGGGATTCATGTATTATGAAACCCAGTCATTTCATTTGAAGTCCCAAAGGCCTTTAACAACTATTTCCTACTGAAAAAAAAAAAAAATCACAAACACCTTATTCCTAACATGGAAACATCTTCACTTTGTTCCCAATGGATCAGTCCCTGTGGTTTCTTATACACAGAAGACCCTGTACATTTGCTCAACCAACCATCCCTTGTATATAAGTTGATCTTTCTGAGTTACTGGTAACTGCAATAGAATCCACCCTTCTGAGATCACCTTGAATGCAGCCTAGTGAAACCTTTCCTGCTCTTCTACTGGATGTGAATTTTATTCCTCCTCTTGTACTGAATAAGTTTCTTGAAAACATTCTTAAATAGGACTGTATTGGTTAGGGTTTTCCAGAAAAACAAAACCCAATAGGGATGGATAGATGGATGGATGAATGGATGGATGGATGGATAGATAGATACTTGCTAAGGAATTGACTTATGACTCATATGATTATGAAGGCTGGCAAGTCCAAAATCTTCAGGAAGTTTGGCAGGCTGGACCCTCAGGAGAGCCGACATTGTAGGACAAGTCTGAAGGCCATCAGGCTGGCTGAATTCCTTCTTGCTCAGGGAAGTGCAGTCTTGATTTTAGTAAGGCCTTCACCTGATTGGATGAGGAACACCCACATCATGAATGGGAGTCTTCTTTATTCAACCTCTACCGGTAAGTGTTAGTCACATCCAAAAACACTCTCCCAGGAACATCCAGAATAATGTTTGAGCACATTATTCTGTGGCCCATTCGAGTTGATACATGAAATTAATCAGCACAGGGACTGAGCAGGATACCCTGAACATAGCAAATAGTATTTTATTTCTTTAAAAAATTGTTTACATTCATAGCCTCAAATTTCTTACCTCTTAGTGACTCAGGCCATTTCTACCTACTTGTTAAGTTCAATAGTTTCTCTTCAGCACTTGATAATATTGCTGCCTAGCACTGTCTTGGAACTGCTCATCCTCTGACCCTCAAATTCCAGAGACTTCAGGGTACTTCTATCTGAAAATTTTTTCTCCCTCTGGCTCTCTTCCATCCATCACTTAAATGTGGATTCCTGAAGGTTCCATTCTCGGTCATTTCTTGATATATTCTTTTCTTGTGTGATCGTGTCAGTCCCAATTGTTATCTATGTCAAATTAGCATCTCCAGCTCTATGCAGGGACACATCTAGGTTTTGTGGTATCTGAAGTTTATACAGGTGTGTGTGGTACTCTAAGACATTTTCTATGCTAGATGCCTAGTAATAATTATAGATGGAAACTGTTGATGTATCCCATGATACCCAAACTCTATTGTATTCCTAACTCAGCCTAAACTGGGGCCCCTAAATACCTGGAGCATTCCAATGGCCCCTCACCCAAAAGGAAGAGTGAGGAAGAGAAAGTTGGGGTAGAGAACTGCATAATGGTGCACACCTGTAAACCCCGTGCTCAGGAGGATGAGGCAGGATTGCTGAGAGTTCAAGGCTACCCTGGGCTACATAGTGAGTTCAAGGCCAGCCTGAACTACATAGCAAAACTGTTTCAAAAAAACAAAACAAAACAAAACAAAACTGCTTGTCAGATCCTTAATTTGAATGGACCTCATATTTTAAGCCATTTGGCTCAAGGACCACAATCACTTTTTCTTTCCATCCCTTGCTTTTCCCTTTGTTGTCAGTCTTTGGTCACCATCCATCCAGTCATTCAAGGCAGTAGTCTCAGTTATTTTTATTCTGCACTCTTTTTCACTCCATATCTCTTAGAAATCCTCTCAAGTGTGGACCCATATTGGCTTCTGTCTGGACTGCTGTACTGGCCTCCGGGCAGCCTCCCTGCCTCCGGTTTCACCCTGATTCACTCCCACATGGCTACAGAGTCATGTTTCTACAATGTGGTAATTGTGACAAAAGGGTTAACATTCTCAGCGCTCATATTTCTTTGAGAACACACTTGTGCCCAGCATGCCCTGGACAGTCATAAAATACTGCACCAAGGAGGACTAAACACAGTGTAAGATAAAAGAA